ACGCAACTTTTCCAGTTTGACACATCGGAACTGCAGCAAGCGCAACTTGACAAGTTTGAAACGTCGCAATTGCAGCAAACGTGATTTGTTATGACAAATCACTCTGTCTTGGTGTGAGACATCGGTACTGCAGCAAATTCGACCTGTCAAGCTTGACACATCGTAATTGGCGCAAAATGCCGCTTGATAAAATGCAGACATTGAGATGGAACAAAACGCGACTTGTCAAGTTTGAGACATTCTGATCGCTTTAACCGCGTTTTGACTTGCTAGAAGTATAGGAACTGCAGCCAACGCGATTGATCAAATTTGACACGAAACGCGACTTTTCCAGTTTGACACATCGGAACTGCAACAAGCGCCACTTGACAAGTTTGAGACGTCGCAATTGCAGCAAACGCCACTTGTCAAGTTCGACACTTCGTGACGGAACGGAATGCGTTTTGGCATGAAGCAACAATCGTGATTTGTAAAATTTGACACATTTTTCTCCTAAACCGATGGTCGATGGCTATTTTCAGCTATGGGAATGGTGCAGTTGGTCCGGGTCCGGGTGCAGTAAGGCTCAGGTATACTATGTTCATATCTAATTTCACAATTGCTCTCATAATTCAGTCGAAATTAGGCACTACGTCACACGGTTTCGTACTCGGGGAAATTATACACAATTAACAAACGTACTGATGTAATTTATAGTCGACATTACTGGAACATTAGTCAACCGGAATTTTAGCGAAATGGCTGGTTCTAATTAATATTGGGAAAATTGCCACTTTGCCATTCGGTTAAAGTTGCCGTGGTGGCGCCCAACTTTGCAGGATCGCAGGGAAACTTTGCACGGCTTTGTCATGATTCTGATGACGGAAATCGCTGCTGCCAAAAGTGAAATTTTTCATAATTTTCACAACGCTTGCCCCATTTTTCCGCAACTTAACAGTGCTAAACGAAATAAACGTCCCCCTAATAGACCCCAAACAATACTTCCGGTTGAACTCCACACGAGGGGTTGCCGCCCCCACTTCAAGTCCTACCAATGGGCGCTTCGCATTTGGACGCATCGATAACCGTCGCGACGCCTTTCCCGACGACGATCGTTTGTTTTCATCGTCGATTGTATTTTGTCCGGTTTTCGACCGTCTTGTCTCCCCATCAGAGCCCGTAAGGCGGTTGAGGCTACGTGATTTTAGGGCTATTCTCCCCAACGTTTAAATAAACAAAAATGAAGCTCATTCGAGGGTTGATTGTTTTCGGTCTTTTGCTGTTGCTGTTTTGTTTTCACGGGTATCGTGCCCTGGTGATCGTCTCATAAAAAATAGTTAAAAAACGTGAAAACGTGAAGAACGCACTTTTTATTATGAATCTCAGACACATTTCTTGCAATCTAAAGCAAAACCTGCCTGTTTAATTTTTTACTCGAAAACATCTGTCAATGAAGAAGAAATGCAAGCGAGTAAAAAGCTTCTAAATTGAAGAGAGTTTTCAATTTTCTGTGAAACTCTGTGAATTTGTTCAGTGTGTTCAACCAAGTGACGAATTCCTGAGTGCCTTGGCACATAAACTACCAGGACTTTTTATTTGTTTGCCGTTATCAACTGATTTTTTTTGAGTTGCTGCACTAATTATTTTGGAACATTTTTGGGCTCTTTGAAAAATCGCGTAGCATTCATAGTGTTTGCGTCAAAAACTGATTTCTGCTTCCTTGCTATTTAACAATTCCAGACATCAACTGCAAGCGTCGTTGCACTCGCTGTTCTTTTATAATAAATTTATTGTAGGGTTCTATATTTTTTGTCTTTTGGACGCGGTTTCGTCCAAATTGCGATCATCTGAACTCTCACGACAAGAAGAAGCGAGTTTTGCGCAAAATATGACTCTGAAGTAGGAACAAATCTACAGCAAGTTGCATTAAAATCCATCTGGGCGCGTTTTCCCGATATTCCAAAAAATGTGTAAAATCCATGAATGGCTAAAATTTTCAGTTGCCAAGAGAACAGCAATAATTTTTTCGCGCAAAATTTTATAAAGAGGATAGAAATGTCAAAGGAGGATTCGCGTATCAACTCAACAAGACTCCAGTTGAGTTGATTGAACTTTGACCATCAATAGCAGAGGAGCCAGACATTTTTTCCTAGTAAAAGTTAGGTCAGATCGTCTTCTTTTGACACCCTCTATTTGTCTCTGATGGTTGAAAATCAAGCATTAAGCCGAGCTTCAATTTCAAAGTAACTTCTTGAAAAAATGCGGAATGTATGCAGCAAAAATGTTTCGGCCTTGTATAATTTTATTGAATGTTTTTAGTCATTCCGAGTGGTAATTTGAACATTAATTTCAAACCAGTTTTGGCTCAACTTGACACTCAGGTTGTGCAAAGCAAATTGGTTGTTTTCACTACAAACTCTCTGAAACCCTTCGATTGTGTCCAAAATACTTACCAAATTGTATTTTTTCTTTAGGGATATAAACGGGCGTTTTTCTCCTCATTTTTGCAGCAGTTCGTTTTCTCGACTCGCTTCGGATTTAGTTTGAAAGATTGGGTTCGTCTTTAAACAGGGCAACTAGGGGAAGGACAATTAAAACATCAAGTGGTTTGAAATGATATAATATCTTACTGAACACTCTTACTAGTTGTAAAATATTGCATAGTCGGTATGTATTACTTTCCCATAATTTAATAAATTACTAATACTTTGATCACATCACAATATCCTCGGTAACAATAATTCAAACTCAATCACTAGTCTAATCTAGTGTCTACACTATTTACATCGCTTAGAGTCTAGTTGGCGTGTACAAGTCCATAAAATCCATCCAACAAACAGTGGCAACTAGAATTCCGCTACTTTTTTACAAACACCAGTCTTGCTTCTTAGGTAGGTGATGGGGCTTTGGTCAAAATGGGATCAGGACTGCCATGCATTCCCATCTCATGCTTGCGCTGCAAAGCTTGCAAAGTGAGCGGCGGCAACAGCGGGAAGTTCAGACCGGCAGCATGCTGGAAATTGGCCACGTGCTGCAAGCTTTGCAACAGCGCTGCAGAGTGTTCCTGAGCTTTCCTGCGCAGCTCAGCCACGCTGGACTGGCGCTGGTCGCTGCCCACTGGGGATGTCTGGGAGACCGTGCTGCCCGTATCGCTGGTCGACATCAAGTGATGGGAACTCAATGGTTTCATGGGGCAGCAGGAGCACAAGCCCGGAAAACCTGAAACACACACGTGAAGTCAGTGTCTTTTTGATTGGAATTGAGCTGGAAGGTTTTTGCGCAAGTGACTCCCGAGTTGAAACAGAGAACGAAACAGCGCATCTAATTGTATCTGTATAAGATCGCGTTCCACAAATACATTGGCTACAATGGAGCAGTTCACACGACGGCTATGTGTCAATCTTGACAAGTCCAGTTTGCCGCAGTTCCGATGCCTCTAGCAAGTCAAAATGCGTTTCGAGCCGTCACAATTTGTCAAACTTGACAATTCTCGTTTTGTTCCATGTGGATGTCTCCATTTTGTCAAGCCGCATCAGGATTACGATGTGTCAAGCTTGACAGGTCGAATTTGCTGCAGTTCCGATGTCTCACACTTTGACAAATCGCGTTTGCTGCCATTGCGACGTCTCAAACTTGTCAAGTTGCGCTTGTTGCAGTTCCGATGTGTCAAACTGGAAAAGTCGGGTTTTGTGCGGCGTCCGGTGCTTAATGTTGTCAAGTCCCGTTTGGTGTCGTTTGGATCACTCAAACTTGTCAAGGTGCGTTTCATCGCGTTCTCGCGGTGTCAAACGTGACAAGTCACGTTTGTTGCAGTTCCGATATCTCTACCAAGTCAAAACGCATTTCGAGCCGTCACAATGTGTCAAACTTGACAAGTCACGTTTTGTGCCGTTTCGATGTTTCAATCTTGTCAAGTCACGTTTTGTGCCGTTTCGATCTGTCAAGCTTGACAAGTCCAGTTTGCCGCAGTTCCGATGTATCAAAATGGAAAAGTCGCGTTTTGAACGGTGCGGATAAGTCGCGTTCGCTGCAGTTCCGATGCCTCTAGCAAGTCAAAACGCGTTTGAAGCGGTCACAATGTCTTATACTCGACAAGTCGCGTTTTATTCCATGTCGATGTCTCCATTTTATCAAGCCGCAACTTGTGCCAATTACGATGTGTCACGCTTGACAGGTCGAATTTGCTGCAGTTCCGATGTCTCGCACTTTGACAAATCGTGTTTGCTGCAATTGCGACGTTTCAAACTTGTCAAGAGGCGCTTGTTGCAGTTCCGATGTGTCTAACTGGAAAAGTCGCGTTTTGAACGGTTCCGATGCTAAATGTGATAAGTCTCGTTTGCTGTAGTTCCGATGCCTCTAGCAAGTCAAAACGCGTTTGAAGCGGTCACAATGTCTCAAACTTGACAATTCGCGTTTTATTCCATGTCGATATTTCCATTTTATCAAGCCGCATCTTGTGCCAATTACGATGTGTCACGCTTGACAAGTCGAATTTGCTGCAGTTCCGATGTCTCACACTTTGACAAATCGCGTTTGCTGCAATTGCGACGTTTCAAACTTGACAAGTGGTGCTTGATGCAGTTCCGATGTGTCAAACTGGAAAAGTCGCGTTTTGTGCGGCGTCGGTGCTCAATGTTGTCAAGTCCCTTTTTGTGTCGTTTGGATGACTCCAACTTGTCAAGGTTTGTTTCATCGCGTTCTCGATGTGTCAAACTTGACAAGTGGCGTTTGTTGCAGTTCCGATATCTCCACCAAGTCAAAACGCGTTTCGAGCCGTCACAATGTGTCAAACTTGACAAGTCGCGTTTTGTGCGGTGTCGATGTCTCAATCTTGTCAAGTCACGTTTTGTGCCGTTTCGATGTGTCAAGCTTGACAAGTCGAGTTTGCCGCAGTTCCGATGTATCAAACTGGAAATGTCGCGTTTTGAACGGTGCGGATGCTAAATATTGTCAAGTCGCGTTTCGTGTCAAATTTGATAAGTGTCGTTCGCTGCAGTTCCGATGCCTCTAGCAA